GCGGGGGGGGGGGTGCGGGCCAGGGACCATTGGGTGTCTATTCCGAGTGGACGGGGGGCACCAGGTCACAGTGCACCAAGGAGAGTCGAGAGGGATCCTGAAAAACCAACAGACCGACTTCTTCACTCATCTTGACTGGAGGCTGTTCGTCTGGAGGAATGCCCAGATAGGAGAGACAAAAGCAAAGTCCTAGGCTCGCTTGGACTGGGGTGAAAAGGAAGACTCCAGGAGAGGTGAGTATTGTTTTCAGATTTATGGAGNCCTTTGAAGTGTGATACAGAATGGTAGACTCCACCCCAGACTAATAAGAACACACATATAGCGACATACATTTAGTTGAGTCATGGGGCAGGGAAGTTCAAAAAGGGACAACACCCCATTAGAATGTATGGTGAGGAAATTTGACAGATTCAAGAGGTTCTCTGCCATTCCGGGTTTCCGAAGTGTGGCAAAATTGAGATTTGTGAGGTAGAATGGCCCACCTTTTCTTTACAGGGTACCAGATGACCAGATATAAGGTCCCTGTATCTGAAAGCAGTAAGAGAAATGGAGAGATTTGTGGCAGAGGCCCATCCGGATCAATTTTGTTATGCAAGTGCCTGGTCCTCAGTAAAAGTGGCACAGCCTTCATGGATGTCAGCCAGAGAAATGTATGATGATGGTGTCTGCACCTGTCGTCACGGCCAGTCCGCAGTCCGGAAAGAGAAATCCATTGAAGAAGGTCCTGACGGACAGTGGAGACCCACGAGACTTAGACCCAATCATGCCTCCTCCATATACGCACATGTATCCCTGGCTACCGCCTAGAGAGAATGTGCCTCCTCTGATAGATCCCAATGCTCCTGCTCCTCCACTGTTTGATGAGGCAACTCCTCTGACAGATTTCGATGCTTCTGTTCCCCCACTACTTGATGAGGCAGCATCACCAGAAGAGTTTCACAGTCCACCCCAAAGTCCCAGTCCCAATTTGGCCTCCTACTTTGTGAACAGTCCAGGGAGTAGTGGGACTGAGAAGAGGATCTAGTCAAGGAACAGAGAAGAAATTTAAGACACCCAGATAAGTCTACCCCAGCGCAAACTAGACAACAGTCAGCGGGCATCTACCCCTTAAGAGCAGTTACTCATTTTCTGCCTAGAGGACAGAATGGGGCTGGCCTACCGGAGAATGAATTACTCGCAAGAATAGTATACCAACATGTTCCTTTTACAAGCTCAGATCTACTCAATTGGAAAAACAACATGAGACCTTACCAGGAGGCCTCTCAAGAGGTGGCAACCTTCCTGGAAGGGGTGATGGAGACTCATAATCCTAGCTGGGGAGACTGGCGACAACTTATGAATACTTTGTTCAATTGAGAAGACAGGAGACAAATTTATAATGATGCCTTAATATTGGCCCAAGAGGATTGTCCTATAGGAGGAAATGCTTTAGACTATGCAGCTGGGCATTTCTCCATCACTGAGGACCCCAAATGGGAGGTTAACAATGCTGTACACCCGCAGAGATTAAAAACATACCAGAGCATACTGGTGAAGGCAGTTAGAAAGGGTCCACCAAAAGCAAGTAACTTAAAGAAGGCCCAAGAGGTAGAACAGGGAAAAGACGAATCCCCCGGAGCTTACCTGGAGTGGTTCCGAGAAGCCTACATTAAATGGATCCCCTATGATATGGAAGCCCAGGAAGAGAACAGCCAGGGAAACCTAGCCCTGAAACACAGTTTCATATTACAAGCGGCCCCAGACATTAGGAAGAAGATACACAAACAGCCAGGATTCCAAAACCTGCCCCTAACCAGGATGATGGAATTGGCTAGACAAGTATATGCAGCAAGGGAGGAACAGGAGAAGAAGGAGGAAGCTGAAAAAACGAAGAGAAAGGCAAAGATTTTATGAATATGATGGCAGAGGGGAAGGGGGAGGCCTAACAAAAGAGGCAGAACAACAGGAGGGCTGCTCCGTAATCAATGTTCGAATTGCAGACAAATGGGACACTGGAGATGGGCATGCCCACAGCTGCAAGGAACAGAAAATCAGAATGCAAGAGATTCAGGAAATGCAACAAGGGGGACTCAGAAGGGAGGAGCACCAAGAAGAAGAGGTGGCAACGGAGGAGGACCCAGGGGAGGAGTGTCAAGGGAAGTGTACCACAGGTCTTCAGCACCATCTATTGAGGAAGCGTATTATGGCATAGCTTGTATGGAGGAGTGGGAATAGGATAGACCGGTTCCCCCTTGTGTCCAGGAAGACACCGTTTTAACTACTGGCCGTGGGGAGCCATTGGTCTTGGTTGATGTAGATTTAAGGGCTGTAAATAAGGCCACAGTGGCCCTACACCCAGTGGTGCCTAACCCTTACTCACTTTTGAGCCTCATCCCACCCAACGCAGAATGGTTTTCAGTGATAGACTTGAAAGATGCATTCTTTTGTTTAAGGCTTGTCCCCCAGAGTCAATCCATTTTTGCTTTTTCATGGGAGCGCCCAGGAACAGGAGTAATGGTGCAATTTGCATGGGCTTGACTCCTGCAAGGTTTCCACAGCTCTCTGACGATTTTTGGGCAGGCATTGGCACGGGATTTCCATGAGTTTGTAGCAGCCAAAACCCCGTGGTCTGTGCTTCAGTACGTTGACAATCTGCTCCTGATGGCTCCAGACAGAGACACTTGTAAGGAAGGGACACAGAAGCTCCTGGAGTTTTTATATGAAAAGGGATACAAGGTCTCAAAGAAGAAGGCCCAGTTAGTAAGGGAGAATGTGAAATATTTTGGTTTTAGGATTACAAAAGGACAGAGACATTTGGAGATAGAAAGAAAGGAGGCTGTGTGCTCAATCTCTGTCCTGGCTACTCGGAAGCAGGTCAGAAAATTTCTTGGGAGAGTAGGGTTTTGCAGAATTTGGATCCCTGGCTTCGCAATATTGGGCAAATATTGTTTCTAACACTGTCACAAGTGTAGTGGGTGGGGACAAGGGAGAGGGCCTTCTGGGTGGTGGCCCCCGGCTTTGGAATGCCCTCCCCAGAGAGATTAGGCAGGCCCCCCACTGTCCTCCTTCCATAGGGAACTTGAAGACCTGGCTGTTCAAACAAGCTTTTGAGAATGCCTAGTAGTTATGCAGCCTTGCACTTCATCTCATGCTCTTGTTCCATGGTTACAGCTCTGCACTTATCCCATTCCCTTGTCTTATTGTTTACAGCCTGACCACATTTACACTAGTTTACCACCATCTTAAGTTGTTTTATATGCCTATATTTTTTATTAAATTGTATTTTATACTGTGCCTTATTTTATTTTCTGTTTTGTGCCTTATGTAAGCTGTCCTGAGCCTTTTCAGAAAGATGGTGGCAGGATACCAGAAAAAGTTGTTGTTGTTGTTATTGTTGTTATTCAGTTCCTTGACAGAAAAAAAAACCAGCTACAGTAACAATGATGCAGGCCTGGTACAGCATTCAGGCGGATACCTGCAAGTGGGCCCTGGATGAGAAGTTCCAGGAATCGTGTTTCATTAATCCAAATTCAGAGTGGTTTTCTTTTCTAGGTGCAAAATGACATCTTTGGAATTGACTAGAGATTCCAAGAAAAGATTAGATATAATGTTTTTACTGTAAATAAACTGCCTAGGAGTGTGGTGGACTCTCTTTTGTTAGGATGTTTCAACACTGAAGTTGAATGGGCGCTTTCAGGAGTACTTTAGTTATGTGTTCCTAAATGGTTTCATGGTTGTATGATCTAGGATCACTACTGATTGTTCAGTGGGGGGTGAGAGAGGTTCCTGGCTCCTGCTGCATGTGAAATGAGCTGCAGGAGAGTTTCATTGTTTCATTCTGCACACTTCCTGCATTAATTAGAGCCTTGAAACTGCACCTGAGTGGGCAATGTAGACGTAGGTATAAAGAAGCGAGACCCATGACTACAAATGTGATGCATTAAATGGTTTATTGATATAAAATGTTCACTACAGGAACAATTAAAAGAAACAACAAAATGTGAATTTCAGTAATTACATGCATTGTTTGTATGGTGTGCCTTTTAAGTCATTTCTAACCTATAATTCTGTAGAACAAGCCTCAATTTCACATTTGGCAATGGAAACCCACCAGATGACCTTGGTGGGAACTCTCAGCTCGTTAACCTTAGAATCACCATATCATACCATGGAGTTTTCTAGGAGCCCCCAGTGGAGCAATGGGTTAAACCCTTGTGCCAGCAGGACTGGTCAACCAACAGGTTGGCGGTTCGAATCCAGGAGCAGGGTAAGCTCCTGTCTGTTGAACTCTAGCTTCTCATGTGGGGACATGAGAGAAGCCTCAAGATGGTAAAACATCAATCTTCCAGTGTTCCCTGGTCAAAGCCCTTGCAGACAGCCTATTCTCTCACACTAGAAGTGACTTGCAGTTTCTCAAGTTGCTCCTGAAATTAAAAAAAAAAGATTTTTCTGGGGCTGAGGGTGTATGACTCAGCCAAGGTCACCTTGTGGGTTTCCATGGCCAAATGTGAAATTGAGGCTCGATCTACAGAATTAAAGGCCAATGCTCAAACCATTACACCATAGAAGAACACAAGGGAGAATCCCTCCAAGCCAAACAAACAAACAGTGTTGAATAAACAATGCAATTAAAGAAATCAAGGCAATAATGGAGGAAAATACATAGCTCCAAAAAGCAATGGGAATGAAACCATGATGTACATTGCCACCTCTTGTATTGCATCTTTCTCCTTCTTTCCCTCCAGCCCATCTTCATTAAAGCAAACTAAGGGTGCATCTACATTATAGAATTAATGCAGTTTAGATTTGCGAGAGTTGTAAATGCTGTTAGTTTCTTCTGCCAAAAAAGTAGACTAACAATTTTCATAGAATCATAGAATCAAAGAGTTGGAAGAGACCTCATGGGCCATCCAGTCCAACCCCCTGCCAAGAAGCAAGAATATTGCATTCAAATCACCCCTGACAGATGGCCATCCAGCCTCTGTTAAAAGCTTCCAAAGAAGGAGCCTCCACCACACTCTGGGGCAGAGAGTTCCACTGCTGAACGGCTCTCACAGTCAGGAAGTTCTTCCTAATGTTCAGATGGAATCTCCTCTCTTGTAGTTTGTAAAACTACAGCTTGCCAAACTACGATCCTCTGGATTGAGCCATGGTAGCTAATGTGATGTCAAACTCCATTTAATCTACAGTGTAGGTGGCCCTATGTTCTAATTCAATTGCATTTTAGCATTGATTGGATGGTGACCTGCTAGTCTCGTGTGTTACATCAATATTCCCTGAGCCTCCAAAGGTATAATATGACATGTTTATATTTAGAAGTCAGATTCAAAGTTGGAACATAGAAAAAGGCAAGTGAATTCTCCATTTTGACCTCTTCTCTTCCCTTTTGTCTTTAGAGTTGATGAAGGCATGATGAAAATGCGTAATACACATATTGGAAAATATATATTTGATGTAACCATATTAGAAATAGGAGTTAGAAAAATCACAAAGAGAAATGTATGTATGCATGACCTTCACTTCACTTGGCTTCTTAAAAGCTGCAAAATTAGAGAGGCCAGCATCTAGGAAAGGAATGTCTAAGAGGCCTCTGGCATATTTCAAGAGGTTCCATTTTGGTACCAGGCACCTTATCGTAAGATTAATGAGCTGGCCATCAAGAGGCTTCAGGAAGAACTTATCTCAAGATGGATGGAAGCTCTTGCTATCAGGTCTAGTAGACATTCTAGCAATGGTCCTCATTAATAGCATCTTTAGATAAAGGTGCTTAATGGAAGATTAAAGGTGTTGAAGTTAAAATATGCTATTGGAATAAATTGGAATTTTGTGACGCACATTGTGATGCTTTTATGATGCATGCATATTATTTTAAAGGGTATATAAACCAAGGATTTCCTTTGTTCTGTACCCTGTTTTCCTGGCTTACCAGGAGGGTCCATATCCGGTTGGCGCCAACTGAGAATAAATCCTGCTTTTCATACCTCAGGAACTCTCTTTGTCTCTTTTCCTCAAACTACTCCTTGCCATTTCAGAGTAAGGAGGCATCTTGTCATTGTCCAGGCAGGATGTAGTAGACTTAACTATTTTGTTATTTTTCTTTTTCTTTCCTTGGAAGATAGCTCAGTGAAGCTAGCTAGCTCCAAGAACCTTTCCTATCAAGAATGGGTTTATTTTATCTTTAATAAACATATTATTTTTAATTCTATGAAGTTGTGGATCTGAAATTCTGTTCCATCCTGTTGAATGGAAACCAATCCTTGCTCACTACATGTAACTTTCTGCTGGTTATGACCTGTGCTTCTGGCACTCTGCTATATTTTTGTGGAGTCACTCCCAAGTGAGGGTTATTTTGAGCCTAATAGCTCCTCATTCCCAACACAAGATTCATCAGGGTTTGGAGAAGAAAGGGCACTGAATCTATGAGGTTGCGTTCCTCAATTAGCTGATTTAGAAGCTCAGGGGAAAATGGCATTTTCTCATATTCATGGGCATGTTTTGGTCTCTTAATTTCACAATTCTGTCATTGAAGTCCTCGAGAATCTTATCAGGCCTTCCATTTTCTAAAAAGCCAACCATCCATTAGCTAGGCAGTTCCATATATTAGAATATGCAACCTGGTGCCTAAAAAGGCTGCAATCCCAGATGTGTCCTGCTCTCATTTGTCAGCATTATCACATGACCATGATGAAGAAAAGGATAATCTCAATTAAAATCTTGCAGTCATCTTCATGATTTGGCTGGAATGGTCCCATTATCATGTATCGTTTATATCTGTCTGGTGGTGCTGGACAAACATAACTTCTAACAGAACTCAAACTATGAGTGGGTTTGTGGAGCCAAACTCCAGATTCTTATGAGATAGATTGGATCCAGAGAAGATCGCCAACAATTGCAAAACTGAGAGGATGCAACTGAGGCAGTAAGAAGGAAATAGAAAAGGTACATTCTTGGCTAGCGAGAGATTTCTCCTGATGTTACACTACAGGTTTAGATAGTGAGTCTTCACATGAGGCCACTTCTGTGCAGAGGAATCTTTGCAGATGTTGCAACTGTGCAAAATTTAACAAACACTGAAAAAGGAGAAAACCTACAATTTCCAAGCAAGGCATTTGCCAATTTTTAAAAGTAGCATATAGGTATAAAATGATATATTAACCATATATTGTTATAAGATGATAGATATATTTCAAAGCTTCTTAACTATGAGTTGTTTATAAGTCGGATGTTTGTAACTAAGGGACTGCCTGCATTGCTATAATATGATAGCTGTAGATAGATAGATAGATAGATAGATAGATAGATAGATAGATAGACATCGTTATAATATGATAGATATATTTAAAAGCCACCCGTTCTTAACAATGAGTTGTTTATAAGTCAGGTGTTTGTAACTAAGGAAGTGCCTGCATTGTTATAATATGATAGCTATATATTTCACACCCAGATCCAGAGTTGGTACATTTCTATGAACTTTGACTTCACATGAAATTCCTTCTGACTGACTCCACAGGACTTGCAGATGGATCTCGATTACTGGAACTGGCCAGTTAAGAGGACTGTTTAAGGTTGCTGCTCTCTTCTCCCTCTCCTCCTCCTCCTCCTCCTCCTCCTGATGGTCTTCCTCCTTCTCCTGCATCCAGCCTCCGCCACAATAACCACCAAGGCAAGGAAGACCAAGGCAGCCACTCCCAGGTGAATACTGGTTTCAAGAGAGGAGTCAACAGCTATAGTAACAACAATAACAACAAACAAACAATTAGGGATCACTCAAATGTCGACTGCAATTTAAGAAGTGAAGTCGCTATTAACTGATCCCAGTGTTCCCAATGCAACCTGTACTCCCAACTAGAATAGACCGTAATGGACCAATTGCTGCAATGGAAGTGATATACACATTTATGTAACATTTATTAATTGATAGCAGGTGCCAACTTTAGCTGAGTCACCCAATTATATTTAGCTCCATCTGTACAATATTTTGATTTTCTGCCTAGGCCCCTAGGTTTGGAAACCCTTTTTAATCTTTGTTTTAGTATTGAAAGAAACAAACAGAAGACTATAGGTTCTTGTGGGGGTTTTTTGGGCTATATGGCCATGTTCTAGAGGCAACAGAAGACTGATTGTGCCATGTAACTGTTTGAGATTAACTTCACAATTCAGCAGCAGATCAGTTGCACAACTTCAGCGCTTTCCAGTAGCTTCTTCCTGCACAGTATTTTCAGTCAACTGCTCCCACAGCCTGCAGCCACGCTGGAACCTTTTACAGACACTTGAGCACATGCCCGGCCATTGTCAGTTTTACCATTGTCTTTCCCCCAGTATAGATGATATTACAGACTTACCACAGCACAGTTATATCTTGTCTTAGCAGACAGGTTCTTTTAATTACATATAGCCTTCGACGAACAACATCACAGCACAAGGAGAAATATACACTGTACATGACTTCCTTATATACAATTCATTTACACATAGCAATCTCTGATTGGTTCCCAACTCATTGACTCAACTCAACCCAGGATTGCATCATTCACAATCACCTGGACTAGGCCAGAACACATTCCCCAAATGATTCCCTATATACAGTTAATGCATGACCCAGCATTTCCAATAGAAGCCTATTAGCAGTGCATGACTCAGCTATATTACATTACAATACATTGTAAAACCTGACAGTAACAATAAGGGCTGGGATTCTCCATCAGCAACCAAGTTGATAACCCTACTGATTGCCTCAGGGTGAATCCAGACAGCCTCTTTAATGCAGGAGTTCCTGCAATTAAAAGGGGGCTGTCCAGATGATGTTTTAGAGAAACACGAATTAACCCTGGTTTGTGGCAAATTAATTTGTTAGTGGCTTTATTCCACGCCTTCTTGGAAGTCGTGGGATAAACCCACTACTTCCACTGTCTGGACTGCTTTGTCAAAAGTTCTGGGCTTTTGAGAGGGCAGTCCAGACAGTAGTCCCATAGTTTTCCAGGCTAAATAAGCCCGGAAAACGGTGGGAACACAACCCCCCTCCACAAAACCTCTTAAAAAAGGAAGAACTTACCCGGCTGCTGTTGGCTCCTCCCCCCTCCTGGAGCGGCATTCCTACACACCAGGAGAGCTCCAGCACTACACAAATGGAGGCCGGGTAAAGGCTTTTGGGGGCTTTTGGGGAGGGGGTTAGAGTGTCTGGGTGTCCGAGGAGAACATCTGGACACCCACCCAGAAAGCATGTGGATGGGGATCCAGGAACATTCATGTTTTCAAAATGCGAATGTTCTCAGGTTAAAGAACTGTGTGGAAGCGCCCTCAAACTATGTACCGAGACAAGGAGGTCTGATCTGTTGACGTAGAGGTTGAAGAGGTTTTATATTCCCTCTTGCCTTCTCTTCTGTTTCTTTCAAAGATAGGAGATTTTTTAATGCATACATAGTTTGAAGCTGATTAACAAGGAGAGTAATAATCGGAGTGGTCTTTAGGAGAAACAATTTCATGGGGGAACAATGCTAAAATAAGGATTAAAATTGCCTGTGGGAGCAGCAATGAAATATTTCTGGGTGGGTTACAGTCATTTTGATTTTTTTTCAGAAAAGTCTGGTCATCTAGATGGTACTCACAACTTGTTTCGACTTCCAGAAGCATGGCAGCATGAAGGCAACCTCTGAACATGCTGCTCAGAGGCTGTTTGCAAGGTGATTAGTCGGCCAAGTGCAGGGATTTTGTTCTTGACCCAATTTCTCTCTGACAATCAGAGAGAGTTCACACAAATTTATCTGGTTTCATCATTTATGCATTAACACCCTTCAGCTCCCAATTTGAGGAGTAAACAGAGAAACCAGAGAAGACTGGAGAGATGTCCAAGGCTGTTATCATGCTGCCAGTTCTGGAAAAAGTGCCAACTATCTTTTTATTTGTTTATTTACAGTATATCTATTCTGCCCTTCTCAACCCGCAGGGGACTTACAATGTATATATTCTGGTCACCAGGGGAGCTGTTGCTTCACCATCCATTTGTGACACTGATGAAGTACTTCCTCATTCTTTGAATGCTTACTGGAGATTTTTATGGCCTCGTAAATTAGTTAAATTAGCCTCACCAAATGTACCTACATTTCTTACTTGACAGATGCAACTGTCTTGGGATGCAAAGGTTGACAACAAGCTACACAAATTGGTCGAAAGCTCATTCCGTCCCAGGCTGACTTTGAACTCATGACCTTTTGGTCAGTAGCGATCTTAATGCAGCTGACTCCCAGCCAGCTGCACCACAGTCCTCTTTCTCCTACAGTCCTCAGAGCAGCTAAATTTGAAAAAAAAAATCAAAGACTAATAATACAGACCCTCAATAGGATGAAGTGAGTAGAGATTTAACTCACCTGGCAAGAAGAGATACAAGAAGAGATTTACGAACCTAATGAAGGTCGTAAAGCTGGACACTAGGCAGGGGAGAGGGGGGAAAAGAGGGGATAGAAACCAATAGGACTTTTACTGTCTTACTGTCCCCACCCCTACTCTTGACCAGTCTGAACCACAGGTGGTAAGAATTGACTTTGGGGGCAGCTGTGAACAAAATAACGATTTATTGGTTTATTGCTTTACTCCCATACTCCCGGCTAGGATTTCTGCACAAATAGGGAAATTAAAGAAAGAATAAATATAAAATCATACTGAATGGATAGACTATCATATCACCTAACATCGTTACATTATTTAACATTATATAACATCTACACACATATCTAGATCTTAAGATAACAGACTAAAAATTAGTACTGCGAAAATAAACATTACACATCTGAATAGAATAAAAGAACAACCAAGAATAATAGAAGAGAAAGAGTCCCATTGAGGGTGCTTTGATTGCAGGTTGCTGCATGGTAGGGGGTTGGATTGGATGGGCCTTGTGGTCTCTTCCAGCTTTATGATTTTATGGTTCTGACAGGCCCGTAGCCAGGATTTCATTTCATTTCGGGGGGGGGGCTGAGTTTGTTTCAGGGGGGGGGCTGAGTCCACGCGGGGGAGGGTCTACCCTAGCAAAACTTTTGTATTGTTACCCCAATACCCCCATGCATATGGGATATATTGAGTAGGTGATCAGATCATGATATGAATAAACATAACAGTTTAAATAATGCAACAGTAAGGGCTTTTCGCGAACCACCATGAGAATTTCGGGGGGGGGGGGGCTGAAGCCCCCCAAGCCCCCCCCCCCCCCCCCCCCCCCCCCCTGACCATGGTCATTTCAGAGAGAGATAAAACTGATACAGAATTTAGTGAGTAAAACTTACGAAAGACAGAACACTCCACGCTGGCATCCTGGCTGTGGGTGCAACTGTGCTTTCTCCAGCTTCCCTTCTGGCACTCCTTCAGGGATGCTTCTTCTCCTGTACAGTTGATGTTCTCCAGCCAAATGGGCCCCGATCCTTGGCCATAGTGTGCTCCGCCCAATGCTTTGGAGGCATTGCCACAGCCCAGCTGCCTGCAGACCACTTGGGCATCTTGTAAATCCCAGCCAGCATCACAAATGGTCCCCCATGTCTCATTGTGAAAGACTTCAACCCTTCCAGAGCAGGGACTTGTTCCATCCATTAAACGGAGATCTTTAAAAAATATATAAATATAATAACAGATGAATGGTGATTAGAGATATGGGTCTAAATTGTGTTCTTCAATTCATTGACTTAAGCCATTGATTGAATGGATCAACTCTAGTCCTGAGTAATCAGCAGGATGCCAGCCATTGTTATGACCATCAGTGGACCATCAGTGGTCCCCAAGAACGAAAATATGGTCAGCAGGCTAACCATTACTGCACAGTTACCTCAAAACCACATGGCAACAAAAAATGACTGGACTCACAAAACCCTCTTATAGCGCCAACAGGGATGTCGGGAGAGGAAAGACTGACTGCCCACAAAAGATTACTACTACCACATCAGCTCTAGATTATTAAATGTGGGCAAGCAGATGGCGACTACTGGGCGGCATATGTTCTGTATCAGAAACTAGAGCTGATGTGGTCTATCCAATGCAATTTTCTGAATCAGCACCCCAAATAATCAAACTGAATCTAAAGGTACTAATATTGGAGAGTGGTCCCAAAAATGGTTGGGAACCACTGCTTTAGATCAAACTGGTAAAATAATAAGAGTTTAGTAGGAGGATACCTGGACCCCAACTATTGGCAACCTAGCTTCCTCTGTACTAGATGGAATAATTGGAAATGATGTTTCTTAGCAGGTAGAAGCTCTGGTTTTGAATCCTGTACCTGTTATGTAGAGCAGGATTCTAGTCACTGATATGATTGGCATCTATTAGGTTGCAATGGATGAAATTCACTCAAAAGCTTTCTCAGTTATTTCAGGCACAAGGCATAGCAAGCACATCCACATGAGTAGAATTATTCCCTTTTTATGACACCCTTTTATCAATGAATGGCTTTAGAAGGTTGCCCATTGAATGCAAAAAAGAGAGTCATCTCAAAAAAGAGAGTCTTCTCACAAAAAGAGAGTTCTTCAACCTCAGCAAGATGGAGTGGATGAGGGATTGGAGGACATCCAACCCCAAATTGGGAAAGAAGTCGTCCAGGAATACCTGGCCGCTCTTAATGAGTTCAAGTCCCCAGGGCCAGATCAACTACACCCCAGAGTATTGAAGGAATTAGCGGAAGTCATTTCGGAACCATTGGCAACCATCTTTGAGAGTTCTTGGAGAACGGGAGAAGTTCCAGCAGATTGGAGGAGGGCCAATGTGGTCCCAATCTTCAAGAAGGGAAAAAAGGATGACCCAAACAACTACCGTCTGGTCAGCCTCACGTCGATACCGGGCAAGATTATGGAAAAGATTGTTAAGGAAGCGGTCTGCAAACACTTAGAAACAAATGCAGTCATCGCTAATAGTCAACATGGATTTATCAAAAACAAGTCATGCCAGACTAATCTGATCTCTTTCTTCGATAGAGCTACAAGCTGGGTAGATGCGGGAATGCCGTGGATGTAGCGTACCTGGATTTCAGTAAGGCCTTCGACAAGGTCCCCCATGACCTTCTGGCAAGGAAACTAGTCCAATGTGGGCTAGGCAAAACTACGGTGAGGTGGATCTGGAATTGGTTAAGTGGACGAACACAGAGAGTGCTCACTAATGCTTCCTCTTCATCTTGGAAAGAAGTGACGAGGGGAGTGCCGCAGGGTTCCGTCCTGGGCCCGGTCCTGTTCAACATCTTTATTAATGACTTAGATGAAGGGCTAGAAGGCATGATCATCAAGTTTGCAGACGACACCAAATTGGGAGGGATAGCCAATACTCCAGAGGACAGGAGCAGGATTCAAAACAATCTTGACAGATTAGAGAGATGGGCCAAAACTAACAAAATGAAGTTCAACAGTGACAAATGCAAGATACTCCACTTTGGCAGAAAAAATGAAATGCAAAGATACAGAATGGGTGACGCCTGGCTCGAGATGGACGTGGACAACAAGTTAAACATGAGCCAACAATGTGATGTGGCGGCAAAAAAAGCCAATGGGATTTTGGCCTGAATCAATAGGAGCATAGTGTCTAGATCTAAGGAAGTAATGCTACCCCTCTATTCTGCTTTGGTTAGACCACATCTGGAATATTGTGTCCAATTCTGGGCACCACAATCCAAGAGAGATATTGACAAGCTGGAATGTGTCCAGAGGAGGGCGACTAAAATGATCAAGGGTCTGGAGAACAAGCCCTATGAGGAGCGGCTTAAGGAGCTGGGCATGTTTAGCCTGAAGAAGAGAAGGTTGAGAGGAGATATGATAGCCATGTATAAATATGTGAGAGGAAGCCACAGGGAGGAGGGAGCAAGCTTGTTTTCTGCTTCCTTGGAGACTAGGATGTGGAACAATGGCTTCAAACAACAAGAGAGGAGATTCCATCTGAACATGAGGAAGAACTTCCTGACTGTGAGAGCCGTTCAGCAGTGGAACTCTCTGCCCCGGAGTGTGGTGGAGGCTCCTTCTTTGGAAGCTTTTAAGCAGAGGCTGGATGGCCATCTGTCAGGGGGTGATTTGAATGCAATATTCCTGCTTCTTGGCAGAATGGGGTTGGACTGGATGGCCCATGAGGTCTCTTCCAACTCTTTGATTCTATGATTCTATGCCCAAATCTGTAAATATGATGCAAAGCCCTGTGCTCCCATTTGGAGGTATCCAATAAACATATTTAATATAAAAATGTCATGCATATCTAGGCTATCTTTATTGAATTAATTTGTATATGTCCAACGTTTGTAAATATTTAATATTTATTGTCGAAGGTTTTCACAGCCAGAATCACTGGAGTGTTTGTGTGATTTCCGGGCTGTATGGACGTGTTCTAGCTACTAGAATGGAAACCATACAACACTCCAAAATAATAATTATTTTAAATAATAATAAAGTGGCTCGAGATAAAAGCATTCACATACAATTTTAAATATACAAATACACAAACATTAAAACAGAATTAAATATATGCAGTACTTAAAATTTCACAGTTAAAATCCATTGATTTTTGACTTGGGAACTGTGAAAATGAAATATAGCTTTACTTTCCACCAATTACCTGAGCACACAACACCAGCATCTTCTTCATGACGACACTCATGCAATTCGTGTATAGCTTTCTTGCAGTAGCGAAGGGCAACTTCTGTCCCCTGGCATCCAACTTTATTCATCCATGTTGTAACATTTCCTTTTCCAAAGTGGGCTTCTCCTGGGGCTGACACAGCTTCTCCACAGCCGAGTTCTCTGCACACAACTTGAGCATCCCTCAGGTCCCATTCATCATCACACACTGTTCCCCACTCCAAAAGGAATAGCACTTCGACTCTCCCAGAGCAACGATTTGGACCATTCACCAATCTGGTTGCTGTAGGTTTTGGAAGAATGAAAGGCGCTTTCATTGATGTGCATGCAGTCCAGCTTCATGTTTCTCCTGCATACTTTGCTAGTTATGGGGCCATTCATAGCATGTGGGGTTGAGTCAATGGCTAGTTGGTTGACATGGAATTAATGCAGAAGTAGTGCAAGACTCAACTATGGTCCCTAATCAAGTTGGTCCCTGGTCAAGTTGTCCCTGGTCAAAAACAGTTGGGAACCACTGCTTTAGATCAAACAGGTAAAATAGAAGAGTTTAGTAGGAGGATACCTGGGCCCCAACTATTGGCTTTCTCTGTACTAGATGAAATAATTGGAAATTATGTTTCCTAGCAGGTAGAAGCTCTGGTTTTGAATCCTATATATGAAAGGCACTTTCATTGATGTGCCTGCCATCCAGTTCCATGTTTCTCCTGCATACTTTACTAGTTATGGGGCCATTCATAGCATGTGTGGATGAGTGAATGGCTAGTTGGTTGACATGGAATTAATGCAGAAATAGTGCAAGGCTCAACTATGCAAGTCCTCCTATCTTCCAGTTATATCGTTTGTTGCAATTGATTTCTACTGCAGTAATCCCGTCACCCTAAGTTCTTAACTAATAGTCCATATATTTATTGCTAGAGTTTTGTGATTGAGATAAAACCACAATATCTTGTTTTTCAGTGTGATAAAAAGTTGATTTACAACTTAGATTGGAACTGAGCTTGATGAATGAAGGACAGCAGAAGAATTCCTCCTCTTCTTTAATTTTTTTCATGCTATGTGAAATGGACTTAGTTTCCTGATTTCTTTCCTTTATGGAGAGAAAGAAGATCAGTTGCTCTTTGTCAATTCAGCTTTATTTGGTTGGAGTTTTTGTTTCTTTTCTTTTTTTAAATCTCTGAAGGCCAACAGATCCTCCAAGCCTGTTGTGATAATGGGAGAGCCAATTATCATAATACTCTTAGAAGATCAGGTGGTTATTGTGATTTAGAAAGAAAACGCATAAATGCACGAAAGCCTTCAGATTCCAACTGATTTGGTCAGCTATTTATTTATTTATTTCACAGTTTTCTATACCGAGCTTCTCAACCTCATTGAGGGACTCAGCCCGGTTAATCAGTGTCAACCTCATTGAGGGACTCAGCCCAGCTAATCAGTGTCAATCCTGGTTAGTACTTGCATGGGAGACCACCAATGAATACTGGTTGCTGTAAACTATATTTCAGTGGAAGAAACTGGCAAAACTACCTCTTAATATTTCTTACCAAAGATAGTTCTATGAAATCCATCATATCACCATGTGAGGACACACGCACATCATGTGGAAATCTATGTATCATGTAAAAAATACGTAAGTGATCACTTGCAACCTGAAATCCATCCAGTGACCATAAATCAACAGACGACTTGCAAGCACACATGCACTTCATCCCTAGAAAGCTTGTGGAAATTTATTTATGTATCTATCATGTGAAAAAGACATGAATTATCATTTTTCTAGCATATTCCAGAGGAACTGTATAGCACTTACTTGCACAAATGACACTGGCATCTTCTTCATGTGTGCAACTGTGTTTTTCCCGAGCATTCAAGCCGCAACGGCTAAAGGACATTTCATTTCCTTGACATCCAGCATCAAATAGCCAGATGGGGCCATATCCTGCTCCAAAGTGAGCTCCTCCTGGAATTGCCAATGCTTCTCCACAGTCAAGCTCCCTGCACACAACTTGGGCACTGTTCAGATTCCAGCTGTCATCACACACGGTTCCCCATGTCTGGTTGTGGAGCACCTCAACTCTCCCGGAACAATGATCTTCACCACCTATCAGTTTGACCTCTGTTGGGTTTTTGAAGAATTAAATATAAGTTTTACTACAAGTTATGCTCTTGGAGTGCTGCTGTATTGATGTTAAAGCACCTCTGCTCCCGTGCAGCCGTCTCCTAAATCAAGATATGCATTAGATTCAATGGTGCAATAGACTCGTACCCTCAAACCCCCACCTTTTGGTTTTACAATTTTTAATCTTTTCTTTTTCTCTTTTTTATCTCTTTTTTATCTCTTTTTTCCTTTTTTTTAAATTTATGCATTAGATTCAATGGTGCAATAGACTCGTACCCTCAAACCCCCACCTTTTGGTAGCTCTGCTGTGCCCCACTTCCCTGGCCGGTCAGCCAGCTGCTAGGACTTGGCTGCCACCCTCAAATTGGTTGGCAAAGGGGGCAAAGGGGGAGCATATTGTTGGGTGGGTGGGTAAGAGAAGTGGGGGCCTCTCATGGGTTTTGAAGGGGGCCAAGAAACCCACAGGTTGGGTGGTTGTGGGCAGCTACCATCATGTCCCACCATCTGGCTGGCGGAAGCAGGGGATGGTGCGAAGTGCTCAATAGGCATGTTACATTTGCCAGCAAATCTTTTTCCCTCCAGGCTTTTGAAAATTGAGGTGTGCATTACAACCAATTGCACACTGGACAAGTAAATACGGGTAATGGCAGTTGTATGTTCAGGGCCTTCATTGTCTATGTTATCCAACAATGTTCGTATGTTCCATGTTCCAAAGTTCATTTGTCTTTTTTGACTGCACAGTGATGACCTCTCTGGATGTAACAGTCTAGTCATGGATAAGTAAGAGAGGCAGACTTCGTTTAGGGATTCTTTTCTAGCCCCCTCCCCATGTGTTTTTTTTTGTAGTGGGAGCGACTTGAGAAACTGTAAGTCGCTTCTGGTGTGAGAGAATTGGCCGTCTGCAAGGACGTTGCACAGGGGCACCCGGATGTTTTGATGTTTTACCATCTTTGGTAAGGCTTCTCTCATGTCCCCGCATTGGGAGCTGCAGCTGACAGAGGGATGCTCAGTCATGGATACAGCTGCCAAACTACTGAACTGCATCAGACCTTGAGATAGAACAACTGAATATTTATCCACTATCCATGTGCTAGTCTTTGACTAGGGGCTTCCAGATTTCACAGTCCTGTCCCCATCACCACATGCTGATCACCATGGGACTTTTATTTGTTTTATTTTATTTTATTTTTCTTGGAAGATGCTTGTGTGTGAATTTATTGTATGTGTAGAGGTTAGACCACATCTGATCAACACACAGTCTTCACAGACAAAGGTTCTGATCCAGTGTCATGGTTAACCTGATGACTGGCGGCCTCTCATCTGTTGCAGCCTTCATCCACCTTCACAGCCGTTGTAACATGTATTATATTATTATCTGCTTTTTCCATTGTTGAGGACTTCAGATTGTGTTTGGTCTGGTTCCTCCCTGTGGTCCCACCATCCTGGGAGACCCCCCCTCCCTCCGGGACTCTGATGGCTTTGCCAGCAGTTTAACTGGAACCCCTCACCATGACTCACATTGTGAAGTTTTCGGAAGTTGATAATCCTTTTTGTAATTGAAAGAAAATATCTAAATGTGATTAGTAATTCCATTGTTTTCATCTCCCCAGATCATGTAAGAGTCATTAGAATCGCCCAGAGAATGACAGGCAGAGGTCATTCTCACACTGGCCATTTGCACACTAGACATAAGCTTTGCCTTCATCACTTTAAGCTCATTGGGCCTTCTTCAAAACTCCTCATAGAATAAAACTGAGTTGATGTTTTGCCCCACTGAGGGGGGTGTCCTTCCCTCCAAGTGGGGTGAGGTTGGGGGCAAGGCAGGCACTCAAGGAAATAAAATTGGCAAATGGACAGAGTCCTCTTTGAAACACGTCTGGTCATTTGGGGAAAAAAACTATTTTTCTTAAATATGAAATCTCCTTGGATAAGAGTTAGCTAGGCTGTCATTGTGTTGTTTATTGCTTTCTTATGCTGTGTGTGTATTGCTCATTGTATTTATATGCTTTGTACTTTATTGCGATGTTGTCTATTTTATTGTATTGTAATTTGTACTGCATTTTAAGGTAATTTATTGTTTGGGCTTGGCCTCATGTGAGCCGCCCCGAGTCCCCGTTGGGGGAGATGGTGGCGGGGTACAAATAAAGTTGTTTATTATTATTATTATTATTATTATTATTAGGCTTTTTCTGAGAAAAAGAGGAGTCGAGAAATTCAAAGGAGCCCACATGCACAATTCTGGCTTATAATTTTCTTTCCACCCATGTTTTGTGTTTTGCTGTGCCTTCAATTTATTTTATTTACAGTATTTATATACTGCTTTTCTCACCCCTAGGGGGACTCAAGCAGTTTACACATAGATAATGGCAAAATTCAATGCCTTACAACTACAATAGTAAAACCACACATTAGATATAAATCACATTAAAAACAATACATCATCAAGCCTCAAAACAGTCATTAAAACCATAAAACAATCTCATCAAGTTTATGTTGGCCTAAGGTGAATCTATGGGACCTAAATATCTTAAAGGCACCAGATCTCATTAGATCTTGGATGTTAAAAATAGTCTGCCCAGGATAGGACAAGTGCCCAATATATATATCAGAGAAAGGAATGGGCAAATTCTTCTCTAAGTATTCCTTGCCTTAAAAATTCTATAAAATTAATGGGGTGGCCATAAACTGATAAGTGACTGGAAGGTACACATACAGACAAGGTGTTTTCTGGACAGCATTTGCTCAGAGGGACTTTGCCATTGCTTTCCTTTGAGCTTGAACGAATGTTACTTTCCCAAGGTCACCAAGCAGAGATATTTGAACCTGGTCTCTTGGAGTCGTAATCTGACACTCAAACCAGTGCACTTATTACCTGAACATATCAAAGTAGCAGCTTCTCCAGAATGGCAGTTTTCCTCGCCAATATCTCTCAGATGACAGTAAAAAAGGGACAGTGAATTAAATGAACATCGCTGTATAGATAACCTGCCGATAGGATGCTCTCCTCCAATTTGAGATCCTTTTAAGACTGATACGATCTTTCCACATCCTGCTTCCATGCAAACAACAGTGGGAACAAGGAACTGCCAGGATTCATAACAGATGGCTTTCCAGTGCCCCTTGTGGAGAACTTCAGCTGTCCCAGAACACTGGCTCGACCCATTGACCAACCTGACCTTGCCTGGAAATATGAAAAACCAAAGTTATTTCTTCCCTTCCAACTTCCAGTCTCTCCCTGGTGTCTGTTTCTTCTATAGGTAGAGAACCAGGATAATGGTTTGTATCCATTCCCCTAGTTTAATCACATCTGCATGGATGTTTAACTTTTGTGTTTCAAGCAATTTGTGAGGAATAGAAGGGAACTTAACTGCTTGGCCCCACCCCAAAGTCCACTACAGCCTGTCTTTGATCCATGTGCTTCTTTTGTATGGCTTAAACAATGTAGCAACCATTTCATGGAATCTATGATTCTATGATTCTATGAAATGGTTGCTACACAGGAACACACACAATGGGTGAATGTCCATTGCTTAAGCCATACAAAAGAAGCACATGGATCAAAGA